CTCCTGCTCCTATATCTTATGTTCTCATGAAATACTCATGGCTGCAATGCTCACATAATCTGAAAATTGATTTCAGGGTGGGGCAAAACTAGCATTGTTTGGCTCATTGCCCATTCTCTGATTTGCCCCATCAATCACTTCTACAAGTCAATAGTTTCCTCAGTAGCTTTGAAGAACATAAAGAGACAGGTCCTGTGGGAGAACAGCCTCCTCGAGGCCCACAATGGGTAAGGTTTACTATCTTTGAAAAACAAGAACTGAATCAGTTGTGTTTCTCTTTAACCAAACAGATGACTAAATATTCATAAACTGCCCAGTTTCAAATTTTGCAGGAAAAGGAGACATGCTAGTATTATGAGATAGTAAGAACTGCCGATGCTGGAGTCCGAGATAACACAGTGTGGAGCTGGAGGAACGCAGCAGGCCAGGCAGCATCAGAGGAGCAGGAAAGTTGACACTTCGGGTCAGGACCCTTCTTCAGAGAGAAAGAAAAAAATTTTCTGTAAAAGAGTCCCGACCCGAAACATCCATCTTTCCTGTTCCTCTGATGCTGCCATGCTAGCGTTATCCTATCTGTAACAATTAGCGACCATCAGTGTTTTATAAAAATGCTCCAGCAATTACAACACAGATAGAATCCATTTGGCTCACTGAACTTGTGTCTGTGTTAATTTAGGCGACATGTTAGCATCATGGTAATGTTGCCGGATTAGTAATCCAGAGACCCATGGTGAGCATGAGGACATGGATACAAATCCCATCCTGGCAAATGGTGCAATTTAAATTCAATGAATAGAACCTGGATTTGTAAACTAGTCTCGGTAAAATGACCACAAAACCGTCATCGTTTAATGCGAAACACCAACTGGTTCTCTGCTGTCCTTGAGTGAAGGAAATCCCCAACGTTTACGCATTCTGGCCTGTATGTGACTCCAGACCAATAGCAAAGTGGTTGGCTTTTAACTGTCCTCTAAAATTGCCTACTGAGACACAGTTCAAGGGCGATCAGGGTTGGCAACAAATACTGGCCCAGCCAGCAATGCCCACAAGCCATGATAGAAGAAAAAGAATCTTCAACTGTACTTTCTACTCTAATTCCATAACCCTGACTATTTTGCATTGCCACAACTTAATTGTCTCATCAAATACAGAGAATGAGAAAAAGTCTTTATGGTTAATTCCCATCAGAGTGGACTGCTTGCCTGAAGGTGCTCTCTACAACTTTATTTCACTCATCCTCATTCACTGAGCTATTCTGGGTATTCCCAAAGATTCCAACTTGGCATTCCCCAAAGTGGATGAGTTAGGACCAATCACTCTAAACTTCCAATACAGCGATTTCCCTTCTCTGTTCCTTTATCGAACGACTGTTGCTGAGTCCTGACTCTTTCAATCCCCTCCAACTCATCATCCTCTCAGTCTCATCAATTCCATGCTGTGGGGCACTCCCAATGGAACTCTCATGCTGTTGCTGCAGACAGAATAAGGTGTGAAATGAAAGTTGGCCACCAATCCACTGAGGCTGTTCACGCAATGGGGAGACACCAAACCCCATTAGGGGTTCCAACTAATTCACCTCCCAAGGCATTTTCCCCCGGGAAAGTCCGGAATATTCATCCATTATTCAAGTCAGGCTTCTCTCTTTGGAATGTCCCTCATTGCCCACAACACAGGAACCACTGCGTTCTTTGAAGTATTTGATAATTATCACACAGCTTCTAATCCCATTCCTATCAAGATTACTCTTTATGAAAGAATTATATGGAGGGCTTAATTGGCAGCTTTGCTAATGTAAATAAATTCCACATTTCCATTGTTATTTTTATCCTCGATCTTAACTTTAGATTTTTATTCTTACATTGGATGTTTGTGCACTCAAAGTCCATATTGCATGGTATGCTTGCATCATCTATGGATCTAAGTTAGTGTCATTCGACATATCATTGACTGACAAGGAAGTTAAGGTTTGTGGGACAGGCAGCAAAGTGGAGGTAAGGTCACTTTCAGATCAGCCACAATTTTCTTGAACGATAGTGCAAGTTTGAGGGGCTGAATGGGTCACATCTCTTTAACTTTCTTTTCCCCGAATTGATCAGCCTTCTCCAATCAATAGTGGGGTCAGAATTGTCTCTTAATCCTTTTTTTCTGAGAAGAACAGTCCCAATTTTCTAGTCTGACTACTGCTGTTGTAATCCCTCATCCCTGGAATCAGTTCTGAGGAAGGGTCACCCAATCCGAAACGTTAACTCTGTTTTTACCTTCACAGTTGCTGCCAGACCTGCTGAGCTTTTCCAGCAACTTTGTTTTTGTTCCCAATTTACAGCATCCGCAGTTCTTTTGGTTTTTATCCCTGGAATCATGTTTATAAATCTCACCTAGATCTCCTCCAAAGCCTCACAGTCTTCCTAAAATATGCAGATTGGACTCAATACTCTAGCTGGGCTGAAATAATCTTTTGGAGTATGTAAGTTTAGCTTAACTTCCTGGCTTTTGTACTCCATGCCTCTATTTATAAAGTGCAGGATCTCAGATGCTTTTACTCACTGCTTTGCTACCTCTTCCTGACATCTTCAAACATTTGTGTACAAACATTGCAGGCTTGCTCTCTTCTTGTGTGTCTATTAAAATTATATTATTTAGGATGTCCTCATTCCTCCTAGCAAAATGTATCTCCTCACATTTTTAAATCACTCCATAGTATTCTATATTTTTGAGAAATGAAAGCAACCATCCTCATACTGTAACCCCTTAGACTCCAGTAACCTCATAGTGGTTATGTGAGGGGAGTACATGGACTTTAAAAAGCACTTTTCAATCCTGCAAAGTTTAACAATAACAGAATGCACCAGCAGGTTTTCCAATTCCACGCAGAATTCCGTCTGCTGAATGTTCACACTACGTTTTGAGAGTGTGTTAGATCCCGTTACGATTCATCAAAATCGTTTATTGTTATTCCCCCAACGCCAGTTACAAAACCGGGAGATTTGATGTGTGCTGCCGGGTTAAACAGGAAGTCAGAGTGTGAATGAAACAATATGTGGAGGATATCAGGTAGAGGTCAGTTTAAATGGACCAGAGGTCACACTTCCTTGAAAGCCTCGAACTTCAGCACAGCTGAAAACGTCAACAAGTTAAAAGAAGTACTGTTGTCAAGGCAACAGAAACGACAAGACTCTGCTTTTCTGCCTGTGGAAAATCCAATGTATTAACAAGATGCTGCATCCACAACAATGCATTAAGCCTTTCCCCTGTTTGATACCCCGCTTCCAGGCTCTCCTCTTTGTAGAAACTGAGGCACATTCACAGTGACATTTGGGCAGAGTGGAGTTGCTTTCGGGTTTCCTCATGAAACAGCAGCACCAACCACGGGATTACTTGGCACAGGATATCCTTTGTGAACAAACCATTGACATCTGGCCTTTGGAGAGTCGTGAGAACCAAGAAAGGCCTGACATTCAATCTTGAGTCAAAGAACAACATTCACACTTAGTTGTCAAGGGCCTCGAGGTCAGATGGCAATTTTCTGTGCAATTAATCCCATATTGAGACAATCAATTTAATGTTTAATGCACACAAGATGTTTCCCCAACTACATTTATATTATCATTAGGCCCACAGTCTCCTGTCTCCAGTTCAGGTGGCAGTGGTCAATAGGCTCCCTGTCCATGACACCAGTGATCTTTGACCATGGCATATGTGCCACATGTTTATCTTCTAAATGTTCCCTTTACTCCTCATTAAAGTACTTCGTCTTCTTATGTGGTTGTTGCTGTAGGGGCGTGCCAGCTGCCTACATTATATGAACAAGTGCTTACAATGAAGGTTTTTGCCACCATCCTCTGTAAGTGTAGGAAACAACAGGGTCTGGTGTGTTAGAGATAGCCTACTTCCTTGTCTTGCTAAAAGAGTCTCTTATAGTTAACAAAATATAGTTTATTGCCCATTAGCAACTAGTTATGGGTTACACAGGCCTGATAAATATTGTAAACAGAGACTTTGAGGAGGATCAGACGTCAGCTCTCACTCATTTTCGATCCTAAGCTGTTCTCTCCACAAGCATCATACTGGATTGTGCTTATAGTCCTCCTCAGTGTTAACCCTTTCATGAACAACATTGGAACTCAGCAACAGTGACACCAGTTCACACTTAGGGTCATAGAGTCATAGTCATACAGCATGGAAACAGACCCTTCGATCCAACCAATCCATGCCGACCATGTTCCCAAACTAATCCAGTCCCATTTGGCCCATACCCCTCCGAGCCTTTCTTATCCATGTACTTATCCAAATGTCTTTTAAACTGTTGTAACTGTACCGCATCCACCACTTCCTCCGGCAGTTCATTCCACACATGAACCAATCTCTGTCTGTGTAAAAAAAGTTGCCCCTCAACACTTCTCTGGGCATCAGTAGCTCAAGCTAAGCTCACCTGAGCAAAGGGGCTTCTTTCTTCCTTACCAGCCACACAGTCCTTCCGCAGTTTTATACTGCAGGTGTCAGTGTAAATGCTGACCTTTGAGGCCCCAAAAAGTCCCTTCAAAAATTGTGGTCGACTGAATATAAACGTGAACTGTATGGATGTGGATGTGTGAGGTTCTCATTTCTTGAAATGTTATCCACTTCCAACATAAGCAGTAAGCATGCCTTAAAGCTCCAGCACTGCTCAGATCACTTGATTCTTTACACTTAGCAATAAAGTGCCAGTAAGTAAACATGTGGGTACACAAAAATTGCGGTTGAATACAGCATGTTGTTGCTGAGGAGGCTGATTCATACACTGAGTACAAGTAAAAAGATCATTTTTATATTTGGAAAAATGGGGCTATCTTGTGTGGCAGTTTGACTTGTACACTGTAAATTATGGCAAGTGAAAAACTAGCCATCCATTATTTACACTTAAATTCAAATACGTTCAAAAAGAAATATTGTCACTGTCCATTTCTTAAATGACTCCCTTGCTGTAACAAAGCATCGACTGGAGATTGGGAGTGTTCACTTACATTATTGGGATCAAATTCCAGCGGGTGAGGACATTTCTTAGGACCGGACCAGAAAAGTACTCCTGAAGGTGTAACCTGGAATAAGATAAGGAATTTTATTAGGTTGAAATCCAGCATTGGCAAACTCAATCCAAACAGAGTGCTATTGCATAAGAGATAACTGTAAGCGTTTTAACACATGATATTTGAAAACATGTCTTTGATACCTAAACACGAGTGCCAAATTTTACCTCCGCCTTCAAAATAAAAACAAACTTCCAACTTTCAGTTTCCTCACACAACAGTTTGCTTTCACTAACTATTTAACAGTGAGGTCTAACATGGTCAACTGATAAATTCCTATCCTTGCCAATTAAAAGAGAAACTGCAACTCTGAATGGTACGATGATTACAGAGACAAGTTTAACTTGTAGGAAGAATTTGTATTTCTATAGCACCTTACGCAACCTTCCAAAGCACTGTGAAGCCACTGTTGAAATGTCGGAAAAATCAATGACTAACTGAATTGTTCTAATAAAATCAGATGCTGGAGATCTGATTAAAACGAAGTGCTAGAGAAACTCAGCAGGTCTGGCAGCATTAGTGCAGACAGAAACAGAAATGAGTCCATTCGTAACTCTTCTTATTTTCTAAACTGGAGAAGTTAATTTGTTTATTTTCTCCACTGCCAGACCTGATTTTTCCAAGTCAACGGTCCTGGGATCCATGCATGATGCCAAACAACTAAACATTGTCATTGCTTCTGACAAAATGATCTAAATTGCTCCAAAGTAAATCAATTGCTATTCTCAGCAAGTGAAAAACTTTGCGATGTGGTTCTGGATTGAAGCAAGTTGCAGGAATGCCTCATGGGGGCAATAATGTAAAAGGTTGCATGCTTTTTTTTGCAAACTCTTTGATGGTTGCCAGTTATACTCTAGTCCCTTGTCTGAGGAAATATCCATCTACAAAATGATTGCTGACTGATTATTCAACTACATGGGGCATCATGACTTAGCTCAATACCATTTCCATCCAGCAACCACATGGGTGCACTTCCCACTGTCGTAGAATGATGACGAACAGTGCAATTTGTGGAAAATTTTCTCCAGCTCTGGGAATTTCAACACTGTGTATCATCGTCACGGGTGAGATAAGTAACCTCAGCATAGACAGGACACTTATCGCTGAAGGAAAAACCAGTTAAAAAAGAAAGTAATATTTAGAAATAAATGTGCAGGATCTATACAAGTCAAGTCAGCCCAGTATGCATTAAGTGAAAGTTATACTGGATTTTCTGTTTGGGATCCTAGTATTTGTCTTAGCTGCTAATATATTAACCAGGTGAGCACAAAGGTAGGTTGAGTACTTTGCTCTAACTGGTTAGATCTAGATATTTTCCTAATCAACCTGTTCAGAGATATTAATGCACATCACTAGACCAGGTGGGACTTGAAGCCAGGCCTCCTGATTCATAGGTAGGGACACTACCACTGCACCACAACAGCACCAACTGGTTAGGTCTATTTTTTAAAAAAAAATGTTTTATGTTTTGTTAAAAGGTTAGTTGCAAAGACTGTGGCAAATCTACCACAGCCTCATTACTGTGGATTGATCATTAACTCTGACCTCAGATTGGTTTTATTGTACAAGATGATTGTTTGCTATTGTACAAGATTGCTTGTTTGCTACAAGCGCAATTACCACTACATGCATCAAAACACACCAATGGACAGATTTTAACAAGGAAGCTAAACAAATACTTGATGGAGTCAATAATGAGGCTCGCTAAAAGCCTGCATGCTTGGGTTTAAAGCAGTATTGAGCTGCTATTTGGTATAATAGATTTTACTATTGTGATAAAGGGAAATGTACATGTTAATTGTGCTAGTTAACATTCCAGTGCATATAGTACTTGATTTAAGTTCTTATCTGTATCATACACTTTAATCTACTATCAAGCCCTGATGTACTAATTTCACAACACAGGGGCACAGAATCTCGATGCTCAAAGCCAATCAGTGTTCATTCACGTGTCTTTCAAGAGACCTACCAGTCAGACACCATTGAATGAATTAGATTTGCTATTAATGGGTCTCAGCAGAATAGATTTGCTTAGGAGGGGTCCTTGTTGGGCTGTGGTAATGTCTCTACCTCTAAGTCGGAAGATCTGCATTCAAGTCCCACCTGCTTCAGAGGTGTCACAACATCTCTGAAAAGATTGCTTAGAAAGCATCCAGACTCAGTGTAAAACATTCTCATCAATTTCTCAGTCAACGTTGCTGATTCATCTCAGAGACTCTACTATGAAGAGGCAGAACACTTGTGGTCTAATATCTGCTAGTCTGGGGGATATGGGCATGAATCCTACACATGAGTAGAAGTTAGACCCACTGATAATTCTCCATGAGACAGTATTTGTCTACAGCCTGAGATAACTGGTACAGGGTTAATATCAATTCGGGATGATGAACCCATTACAAAATGCAAGAATAGACAACACTAAAAAAAGTCCCTTTGAACCAAATGGTCCAAGCTACTTACTTAGATATTTTCTAATTGCAGGTGGGACTTGAATCCAGGCCTCTCAGTTCTGAGATAGCGACTCTATCCCTGTAGTACCACAGTCCCTTCAGGTTACTTCTTATGCTGCATTTAAGTTTCCTTTCACCTTCTGACATTTAACCTCAATCAACACTTTCTTCTGTTCCTTTCTCCCTCACTTTTTCCTGACTTCCTCTCGAAAGCATCTTTTCCATGCACCTCACCTACTTCTTGCGATAACAAGTTTCAAATTCTAATAAGACCATAAGACATAGGAGCAAAAATTAGGCCATTCAGCCCATCGAGTCTGCTCTACCATTCAATCATGGCTGATAAGTTCCTCGACCCCATTCTCCTGCTTTCTCCCCGTAACCCTTGATCCCCTTGATAATCAAGAACCTATCTTTCTCAGTCTTAAATGTACTCAATGACCTGGCCTCCACAGCCTTCTGTGGCAGTGAATTCCATAGATTCACCACTCTCTGGCTGAAGGAGTTTCTCCTTATCTCCATTCTAAAAGGTCTTCCCTTTACTCTAAGGCTGTGCCCTCGGGTCCTAGTCTCTCCTACCAATGGAAGCATCTTCCCAACATCCACTTTGTCCAGGCCATTCAGTATTCTGAAAGTTTCAATTAGATCCCCCCTCATCCGTCTAAACTCCAATGAGCATAGGCCCAGAGTCCTCAAACATTCCTCATATGTTAAGCAAACACTTAACTCTTTGGATGAGAAGTTTGCCCTGAGTTCTCAATTGGTCTTAACTACAACTGTCTTATAATGAGAGCCCATAGATTTGGGCCTACCTTTAAGTGGAAACAATTTCTCTGTTACATCCCTGTCAAATCCTTTCATAATCCTAAAAGTCTCTATCAGATTAACACTTAGCCCTGTCAGAGATAGTAGGAACTGCCGATGCTGGAGTCTGAGATAACAAGAAGTGGAGCTGGATGAACACAGCAGGCCAAGCAGCATCAGAGGAGCAGGAAAGCTGACGTTTCGGGTCTGGACCCTTCTTCAGAAAAAGGCTTACCATTTAGCTTTAGCTTTTCCGCATGAGCTATATGACACATCAAAATAATTCCATTAAAACGATATCGTGAATGGAATGCACACTCTAAAATAGGATATTTCATACAATTAATTCTCTAATTTTGAAGGGATGGGATGTTTTGAAAATACACTGATGGATTTAAATGGGGATGCGTTTAGGAATAAGAGTCTAGATTGTAAGGATATGATGACTGAAGCCTCTACTCCTACCAGTGAGGTAGGGAAGGGCAACAATGGCATTGTGGTAATGTCAATGGACTCATAATCTCGAGGTCCAAGCTAATGCCTTGGAGACATGGGTTTGAGTCCCGGCATCGCAGCTGGTGGAATTTAAATTTAATGAATAAAATCTAGAATTGAAAGCCAGCCTCATAAATGCTGTTCTACCGCATGAGACTACGGAGTGATGTAAAAGTCCATCTGGTTCACTGCCCTTTAGGGATGAAAATCTGCCATTCTTACCAGGTCTGGCCTACATGAGACCCCAGACACTCAGCAATGTGGTTGACACCTATCTGGCCTCTGAAATGACCAAGGAAGCCACTCAGGTGATTAATGCTGGCCTTGCCAGTGATGTTCACATTCCACGAAATAATAAATTAAACATAAAAGCTAGAGTTTAAGTAACAGATGTAGTGAGCCGGGATACAGGGTTATCAACAATTACAGAAGCAGGGTGGAGGGGTTGCTTAGGCTACAGATGTATTCTCAGGAGGATAGGATCTTTAGCAGTGATTATTTGAGGTATTTCAAGATGATTGAAGAGTTTTAAAGGGCAGAGAGAGAGAAACTACTTTCTCTGATTGTGAGTATAGACACATGCAATACAAGCTTAAAATTATAGCTAGGTTAATGCGGGAGACTAAGCACTTCGTCAAACAAAAGATAATGAAAACTTGGAAGTTTCTTTTCTAAAACACCATTCAGAGACTCAGTTGAAAACAAAATGACTCAGATTGATAGGCTTATGTTAGATAAAGGGCAGTAAGGATTTTGGAACAAGGTTTGTAGATAGAGCTAAGTTACATGTCAGTTACATATGATGGCACATGATGTTTGTACAGCGGTCAATCACCCCTTGTTGCCAGGAGACATCCAAGAATGCTCAAGTAAAATGCAGGAAAGTGGATGTGAGGAATGTTGGATCAGCCATGATCCTATTGAATGGCAGAACAGGTTTGAGGGGTGGAACAGCCTACTTCTGTTCCTATTTCTTATGGTCTTAGTGAGGAAGAGATTTAGAAGTCAGTTTGTGGAGGCATATCAAGGCCACATTCATAGAGTCATAGAGGTGTGCAGCACAGAAAGAGACCATTTGGTCCAACTTGTCCATGCCAACCAGATATCCTAAATTAATCTAGTCCCATTTGCCAGCATTTGGCCCATATCCCGCTAAACCCCTCATATGGCTCTCAATTTGGAAAGATGTTGCTTCGCTGATTGGAGAAGTGGAATGCAGAAGAATAGAGTTAATAGGCAGACAAAAAGGAAGTATGGGAGATG